TGTGTGTGTGTGTGTGTGTGTGTGTTTGTAGTTTATTTTGATACACTAGGATATGTGGTGTTTTATTTTCAAATACATTTGGATGTATCTTTGCCCATCCCTGTTAATAGCGTCTCTCTGGGTAATAACTGAGAGTGTGGATCACCCGGGTGTGTCAGACACCCCTCTATTAGCCAAAAATGCACCCACAGGTCCATTTTCTTAAAACTGGATGCTGGGTCTGGAATGTTGGACTCAATACACACAAATTGATGACTGTGGAAACCATTCTGGACTTTGAATTTACTATCTTAGTATAAGTTTGATAAAAGACCCAACTTCTGTGTGCAAACACCTAACCCTAACCATACCCTAATCCCCAACCTCAAAACACTAATTGTGTAAAGATTTGTCTGCTCATAGTTGTTGCCCACAATAATTGTGTTAGGGTTACAATTTCAATGCCCCTAACGTGGTTGCTAGTGTTTTGTTTTCTTGTTACCGTCTGTTGCGTCTGACCCCATTATTTCTGTCCATCCTTTATGAATATGCTAAGATTATGATCTTATTAGAACTGGCAATTTACTGGCAACATACATTAGCTTTCAAATAACGTATTACCAAATATCACAACAACACAAATCAAACTTATAAACATGACACGAAATAGAATTAAACAATCCTTTGCTTAGCCTAATGTAATTATAAAGCCCAGTTGTGTTACCCATCAGTGAAAAGGGGAAAAGGTCCTTTTTGATGTGCTGTTTAAAGTCCAGTGAAGTGGTCTTGCTGGTTGTGGTTCCTGTTGTCATGCATCTGCTGGTCAGACATTGACAGAAAGAGCTTCTGTCACATATTAAGTACTGCCTCAGCTGACATCCTGTTACCCGCTTAAGTTTCGCAATGAATCGAATAACAGACACATCTGTGAACTCACAGACAGGTTTAAAAAATGTATTTGGTCTGCGTGGACAGATTGACGTAAGTGTGTATTGGCATATAGAGCAGGGAAATGAGTGTTGATCTCAAGGATATGGCTCTGGCTCAGTGGGTAGAGCGGGTCACTGTCTCACTAGATCTTAGTCTTCATCCCATTCCCCCGTTCTGCATGCCGAAGCGTACTTGGGCAAGATACTGAACCCCAAATTGCCCCTGGCGGCTGTGCCGTATTCATAGACAAAGTGCTGCCCATAGATGCACTGTATGAATGTTTGTGTGAATGGGTACATGGCAAAAAACAGCTGTAAAGTGCTTTGAGTGATCAAGACTAGAAAAGCGCTATATAAATACAGACCATTTAAGATTTACATTCTAGATACATTTTATAAGATACATAATGCCAGGTGGGAACAGACAAACTTGTCCACTTCTGATTGGATCTCTCATGAAGGATATTAGTACAATGTCTTTACAGGGTCCTTGTCTTTGTGGGTTTTCCTCACTCTGTATCTGTCTCTAGGCTAGTGTTTCCTTGAAGCGGCTAAGAGTGTTTCTATCCCACGAGGAGCTTCAGGAAGACAATGTGGATCATAAAGCAGTAGCAGGCTGTGAGTCTTTGTTTTTATCTCATGAGTCGCTTTCTATTAATACCGTATGTTTGTTGAGCTCTCTGACTCGTTAGAGCTATACATTCATGCTGCACCATCAATTTATGCACAGTATCTATATGTATATTAATATGTATATACACTGTGGTCTTTCTCATTCACTTAAATGAAAAAATAGGTCTCAGACCCACTGTATATATATATATATATCCATTTCACCGCAGTATGATAATATATGTCTTCTTTGTTCCTCCCAGCCCCAGACAGTATCACCATAGTGGATGGGGTTTTCAGCTGGTCCAAAACTGAATCCCCAACACTCAAGAGGTGGGTGTTTTTTTTTTTTTGTGAATATAGAAGCAAAGAAATACAAATGGTTTAATGTTAAGCATACAGGATTGTCCACACGTTCAATTAAAAGACATGGCTGCAATTAAGTTATCACATGCCCTGTGATTTTCTACATAACTGCTGAAATTGTCTGTTCTGAGAGCTCGTCCCAGTTTCCAAGTATCAGTACATGTTAATGTTTTTGTTCCATGTGCAATTTCCCTCTAAAGTGCAGTGGAAGCTGAAACTAGGCTTCAGGAGTCTGAGTAGTATTTAAATATGTGTTTTACGTGCGTTACTGGTTTCCGCCATGGAGCATTACAGAGAGCAGAGTGAACGCAAGCCCCAAGCGAAACTTAATGCCATGGGATTGGAGGTGTGAGTGGAAGAGGCAAACAAACATGTTATTGCGCTACAACAAAGAAATATTAATATTACTCAAAGAAACTTGATATGGGAGAGTATCTGCGAGAAAGTAAATGCTGTTGGTAAAACAAAAAGAACAACCAATGAAATTAAGAGATGATGGCAGGACATAAGAAGAAGAACAAAAGAAAAAATAGCTCATAATAAAATTTCGGAAGAGATGCCTCTGACCAATATTGAGCTGCAGGTGCAGTTCACTTTCTGCGATGAGCATAAAAAAACTTTTCTCTCTGTCTTCTTCCATGCCATCTCCTCACCACAATAACTGCAGCCATCTGTGCACAACGCTGTGCTGATTAGCACCTACCTTTCAAATGTGTTAAATATAGACGCAGTCACAAGCAGCTACAAATATTTTCAGGCTTTGTAAATCACAATGCGTGTGCTAAATTAAAGTATTTGCATCTACTCTTCCCAATATTTTGCGCACTCTGTCAGAAACGGCTGATATTGCATATTCATTGACGCAAATGTACTAAATGGACAGTGCGTGTTATTCTGCACGCAATCCTCAGTGCGCATCATTATTAGATCAGCTTGCATGTTTTTTTTGTGGGTGAAATCAGGTTTGTACACGTTTTTACACATGCAAAGCTTTAGTAGATCAGGCCCTTAGAGTATAAAAACATATCACTTCTATTTTTTGGCTTATTCCCCCCCCTCAAAAATCCACAAAATAGTTAATTTGAATTCTCATGCAACTATTTACATACTTACTTAAACAACACATTGATTTTAGTTTGTCATGTTAAATTAGAGTGAACTGAGCTAAAATTCCATGTTTGTGCAGGATGAATCTGTGTATCCCTGAAGGCTCTCTGGTAGCTGTGGTGGGACACGTGGGTTCAGGAAAGTCCTCGCTGTTGTCTGCTCTGCTTGGTGAGATGGACAAACGTGAAGGAACTGTGGCTGTCAAGGTGGCTGCTCTCACTCAATCACACTGACACTGTGTCCGCTGGTTATTCCAACAATTATTTATATCATGAGATTTCCAAGGCTCAAACAAGCACTTAAAGATAATTCATTATAATTCATCATTTAATTTCTGTATCTCAGATTCTAAAATACAGACAGAAATCACAGTTTCTTCAGGCAAGAAAATATACAGAATTGGTACACATAGCAGTATGCAGAAAACACTAACCAGTGTTAATTTAACATCTAATGTTTAATATCCCTTACTTATACTGCTATATTTGAAGACTTCTTTAGGAACTCCCATGATACACACATCTGTCTGTTTCTCTTGTTTTCTCTTCCACTATGTACATCCCCTCCACCCCCCATCCCCAGTTTATCCTTTTTTTGCTCCTGTCATCTCTCTGTACCCAGCTGGAGGATGCAGATCTGACACTACTACTCAACTATTATACTACTACTACAATAATAATAGTAATCCTAATAACCACAATGTGATATTTGCTGCTCTTATTGATAACATCATTAAATTCATTGGTATTTTCTTTTATTGTCATTACAACAACCAATCTGACAGTGCTTAAATACAACAATTGAACTGTCCTTGGTCTCTCTCACCGCTTTCTATTTTCTCTCACAACCTTACCTCCTCTGTCCCCTCTCTCCCCTAATTCTCTCCCCTCAACCCAACCAGTTGGGCTGAGTTTTTGGTCATTGCAGAAACTGTCAGGTTTTTCTCTATTATATCGTAATGTCTCAATCTTACTCTGTAAAGTGCATTGAGATACTGCATGTTGTGTTTTGGCACTATAAAAGTAAAATTGAACTGTGACACTAGAAAGAAACTAAGAACATACAGGAGACGAGAGCATAGGTAAAATACAGTCTTTACTCGCAGTATAGAACAAAGGTTGCCAGTTCAAGTTAGGCAACAAACACAAGCAAGGAGCATGCAAATATCCAATGACCAAAAGTGTCCTTTGACTACGGCAAAATTACATACAGCAACCAGGGTTAAAAAAACAAAGTCCAATAACAGAAAAACACTGGAAACCTAAAAAGACTGCAAAAAGCTGAAATAGGAACATGTCAAACACTGTAAGCTGGGAATAACTGGACAGGATGACAAGATCAATTAAGAAAAAACGATGAACCAGGGAAAGATGACAAAGGGAAGCACAGAGATTTATAAACAAAAGGGAGGCAGGGATGATTGAACAGGTGTAAATGATCACAAGGGCTGGAAACAGGACAAATACAGGAAATAAAGCTGGGGACACACAGGGAGCAAAATTTCCAAATAATACCAGAAACTAAGAACTCTACAACAATTAAACACAAGCAAAATGTCCCTAGTGTCCAACAAAATCCCCAAACTCTTTAGCTCTGAGTCTAGGAATGCACAAAGCCAGAGTGGCTGTGGCTGAGCAATAGAGCAGTCGTCCTCCAACCATGGTCATCAAGACTAGTAAAGCCCTATATAAATACAGACCATTTACCATCTAAGCCATGTATATAAGGGATTTCTTGGCCAGAAGCAGGTGACAGCTGAGTGATGTCTAAATGAGCATTGAACTAGGTACTGAAATGATAGAATGAACGCAAACATTTCTCATGAGAAATTTTTAATGTGTGCCTAGTGCTTGCTGCTGGCTTGAGAGAGACATCTATAAAAGCTGCATGATTACAGGTTGGAATCCAGGTTGATGAGACAGAGACTGTGCCAATTTGAGAGAGATAAATTGTGCCAGCCTCCTTTCGGGTTTCCTGGTAACTTCCTGTAACTATCAGGGGGATTTTTACCACCTGGGTGCTTTTAGTTTCAAAAATCCAGCCTCCTTCAGACTTCCTGGTGAGGTCCTATTACCATCCAGGCCTTTTATTTAGAAAATCCAGTCATGGAGTTCCACAAGGTTCTGTCCTTGGATACTCTTCACCTTATACATGCTCCCCTTAGGCAACATCATGAGAAAGCACCACATACACTACCATTGTTACGCAGACCCAGCTGTACATTTCTATGAAGCCTGATGAATCTAATCACTTAGTTCAACTTCAGGAATGTCTCAAGAACATCAAGGCCTGGATGACCCAAAACGTCCTACTTCTAAATTCAGACAAAACTGAGGTCATTGTACTTGGCCCTAAACATCTCAGAGTAACACTGTGTGACCAGATAGTCACCTTGGATGGTACTAGCTCGGCCCCCAGCTCCACTGTGAGGAACCTTCGAGTCAGGTTTGACCAGGACATGTCATTTGACCCATATATAAAGCAATTTTTGAGCACAGCTTTCTTCCACCTGCACAATAATATAAAAATTAGGTACATCCTATCTCAGAAGGATGCTGAGAAACCCGTCCATTCATCTGTTGCCTGTAGACTGGGTTACTGTAATTGTTTATTATAAGAATGTCACAGGAAGTCTGTGAAAAGCCTCCAGTTGTTCCAAAAACTCCAGCACGAGTGCTGACAGGAACTAGAAGGAGAGATCATATTGCTCCTGTCTTAGCTTCTCTACATTGGCTCACTGTAAAATTCAGAATAGAAGATCCTGCTTCTCCCCCCTTTCCGTCTCTCTTCTCTCCCCTCTTACCACCCATCTCTCCTCTTCTCATTTTTCTCTGCTCACCCAACCGGTCAAGGCAGATGGCCCACATTGAGTCTCGTTCTGGTCGAGGTTTCTTCCAGTTAACGAGGGTTTCTTTTTCTCTCCGCAGTCACCAAAGTGCTTGCTCATTGTGGGAACTGTTGGGTTTCTCTATTAACTTCAAAAGGTGTACAATATGAGACCTTTAAAACACAGTGACCCTAACACAACAGCAGCCAACAGGTTAAATTTATAGTTTCTCCAACTCACAGAAGTTGATAATTTCCTTGTGAATGGGTAGGACGTCCAGAGCAGCTGAAAGAGATTAGAGTTGATGTGAGTGATCATCGAGGTCTAAAACCTGCATAACCATAGCCCATGGGGATATTTAATTAAAATGGTTCACTCTGAGTGGTAGGACTGTGCTCTATCTGACTGCTTATTTTCAACTACAGAACACAATGCAAATAACAGTGAGTGTCACCCTGCAGGGCTTGGTGGCCTACGTTCCCCAGCAGTCATGGATCCAGAATTCCACTCTGAGAGACAACATAGTGTTTGGTCAAGAGTGGAGAGAGGCCTGGTATCAGCATGTGGTGGAGGCATGTGCATTTCAGACTGATCTCGAGATGCTTCCTGCTGGAGACGAGACTGAGATTGGGGAGAAGGTATCAACTAACGATCAAACAGTCTTCAAAGTTCAAATAAATTTGACATGTTACACAATTTATTTAAAATGCTTTCTAATGCTTTCACCCACATTTGAATGAATGTTCGAATTTCAAACAAAAAGACCTTTAGGAGAAGGTCTGGATCGATTGTTAACAGCCATCCCAGGTAATCCAGTGTCAAGTGGACAGCTCATGGCAGTCAATCAAGATGGCACGGCGAATGGCTGCCTCGGTGTGTTTGTGCATACTTTTTTGTCTGGTTTTGTGTATCAACACAGTTTTCTGCTGCGATACCCGCAGCTCTTTCACCAGAGAAGAGCTCATGAACCTCAAGGGAACAACTCCAGCAGATCTATTTACGTCTCTTTTGTGTTCATCTGTGGAATTAATGAACATTCTGGTTAAACGTGCACTCACCTTTGCTCACTCAGTGAAACTTAGGAGGGGGAGCGGCGCTTGAGCACTTGTCCATCTCCGCAGACAGGGACATGTACACTTTTCTTCATCTACCATCTTGTACTTCACAGAAACCTGGCTGTGTGGATCAACACACCGGAATCTGCGCTGTAGTTGGAAGGCTGTTGGTTGTTCAGAGCAGACCGCGACATGGAACTCCTTTATTAGTCCCACAATGGGGAAATTTGCAATATTACAGTAGTAGCAGTAATAAGTAGAAATATAAAAGAAATATAGAAAAATATAAATCGAATTAAATTAATATATACAGTGTAAAGAACTATATTTTGTGAGAGAATATGTACAGTGAATGTATTGCACATGAACCATTTGTATTGCACAGTCAGATGATTATGGCAAATTGAATATTGCACAGTTGAGAAGTGAAAGTAAAGTGCAGTCCATAATGGTGGTGCATATAGTTTTACTGGAAGTAGAGCTGGTTGTACAGTCTTACTGCTGTAGAAGGGAAAGACACATGCCACAGTGCCCCCTTCCCCCTCTACCAAAGTATCACCCCTTTCCATCCTGGAGAGGGATGTTGACAAGCTCTTCAGGAGACAGAACCCCCGCAAGGCAGCCCGAGCTGACTGTCTCCCCATCCATCCTTAAGCACTGTGCCGATCAGCTGTCTCTAGTGTTCACAGACATTTTTAACACCTAACTGGAGACATGTCATGTGCCACCCCCTGCCCCATCCCCAAAATATCACAGGACTTAAGGACTACAGGCCCATCACCCTGACTTCTGTGGTAATTAAGTCTTTTGAACACCTTGTCCTGTTCCATTACAAGGACATCACCAACCCCCTGCTATGCCCTCTACAGTTCACCTACAGAGCCAACAGATCTGTAGACGATGTGGTAAACATGGCTCTTCACTTCATTCCCCAGGACAAGCTCTCACAGCTAAGTGTGCCTGACTCCATCTGCAGGTGGATCAGAGACTTCCTGTCTGAAAGGAGGCAGGGATTGAGTCTGTGAAAACATGTCTCTGACCCCAGGTCCATCAGCACAGGATCCCCCCAAGGCTGTGTTCTTTCTCCTCTCCAGTCAACAGTCCATCAAGCCCCTGAAGTTCGCGGACTACACCACCCTCATTGGACTCATTTCGGGTGGGAGATCGACCAACTGGTGACATGGTACAGTGACAACTTAGAGCTAAACGCACTCAAATTAGTACAGATCTGTGGACCTTAGGAAGAGCCAAGTCTCACCTGCCCCTATCGCTCTGTGTGACTCTTCAGTGGGCACCGTGGTGCTATTTTGCTTCCTGGCCACCTTTGTCACCCAGGACCTGGAGTGGGAACTGAACATAGGCTCGCTCACAAAAAAGCCCAACAGAGGATGTACTTCCTGTGGCAGCTGAAGAAGTTCAACCTGCCAGCATTATCAGATTCATCGCTATGCATTTACGGCGGTGCATGATCAGTGGGTCAATAGGGCCTGGCAGCCGCTTCAGCATTTCTTCAGCAGACAGCTGCGCTCCAGTGAGTGGAAGTACAGTACCTTCGATCGGGAGCTGCTTGGCATCTACCTCGCTATCTAACACTTTCATTTTCTGCTGGAGGGCTGAAATTTCACAGCGTACGCGGACCACAAACCATTAACATTTGCAATGGCTAAAGTGGCAGCGCTGTGGTCTGCTCGGCAGCAGTGCCATTTTTCTTTCATATCGGAGTTCATCACGGATATACATGTGCCATCAAGCACAACCCGGTGGCTGATTGTCTCTCCCCAGTGGTTACCTGTGCTGCCCATTTAGGATTGGACTATTCTCACGTGGCGACAGATCAAGTTTCTGATCCAGACGCTTGACGTTCAGGCGCTGAATACGCCGAGGAGTTGGAGGATGTTGCTTTTGGTGCTGCTGGCACAAATGTCTGTGTGATGTTTCCACAGGCCAGACACAACCAGAGGGGGTAGAATTTCAATGCTGTCCATGGCCTGTCACACCCAGGCAAAAATCCCTCATAAAAGCAGCCAAGTTTGTCTGGCATGGTCTTAAGTACGTTCGGAAGAGGGGTGAAACGTGTGGTGTGCCAACACTCTAAAGTCCACCACCACACTCAGGCCCCCCTGACACAATTCTTAATACCCGAAACAAGGTTCAACCATGTTGACCTGGACCTGGTTGGGCCCCTGCCCACCTCTCAGGAGTTCACACACCTTCTCACCATGGTGGATAGGACTACTTGATGGCCGAAAACCATCCTATTGGTTTCAACAGAGGTAGCTCATGTGGCATGGGCGTTTATCAGCAGCTGGTTTGCTCAGTATGGCGTTACAGCTGACATTTCCTTGACCAGGCCCGCAGTTTACATCCGGGATCTGGAGCACTGTGGCAGAGAGCCAATTGCAAGGAAAATAGTTGGCAAACCCCAAAAGCCATTGGCACAAGTCTTTACAGAAAGGACAAGGAAGAAAGTGAGGAGTATCCTGGCAGATAGCGCCAATCCTCTCTAAAGCTAGTTTGAGCCTTTCAAATCTGGGATGTGCTTTCTAGTAACAAAAAATGTTAAGAAGTCCTTTAACGTAAATGCTACCAATACCCTTAGAGGATAGTTCCCCGAAAAATTTTAATTTACTCAATTACTCACCACTTTGCTGATGTAGGCGTGGGTAAAGTGTTTAAGTCCTCGAAAGACTTCTGGAGTTTCAGGAGTAAACTTTGTTCCAGCCGAATCTGATACAATTGAAGTGGCGACCTTTATTTCAGATGAAGTATCGGTCGCCAGTTACACCCCCCGCCCCTCTATCTGCATAGTAGTGAGTAGATGAGTGAATTTTATGGGTGAACTATCCCTTTAACTCTAAAAAGAGGCCAATGAGATTTACCCACATACATTGACATTAACCTTTTTAATGGATTATATGACATGTCCATGTGTTTGTTTAGCTAATTTTTTTAATTTTGTGTTTCATGTTTTTATTCTATTCTTATCTAAAGCTTATTGAGCAGAAAAAAATGTCATGCATAGTTCCAAAAATGCATTTTCATGTGTTTTTCTGCATAGGACTATAGACATCACCTTAAGCTTACATTGGTCGAAAATGAATTGATCATATGGCAGTATAATTTTGTCATCATGCCATCACTATGAATAAGTTAGCATAGTATGATCGGTGTATTTACAGTTCTTGCACAGGTTATACATTTTCCCCCTGCTCTTCATTTCTATTTATGTCTCTATCTATGTGTCTCCTATGTTCAGGGAGTTAATCTGTCTGGAGGCCAGAAGCAGAGAGTGAGTCTTGCCAGGGCTGTTTACTGTGACCGAGCTGTCTACCTACTGGATGACCCGCTGTCTGCTGTTGATGCTCATGTAGGAAAACACATCTTTGATCAAGTTATTGGCCAGAAGGGACTTTTGAAAGACAAGGTCTGTATAGGATTTCAACCTAAACCAATGTACAGCACCATATTGAGATTTATTATAAAGTAACATTGCATGTGTTCAATTTGTTGCTCATTCCTTTATAGTCATGACGATCAATGTTGTTTTAGGCAGGTACTATGTGAGCATTGACAGATTTGAATGTATTTTATATTCGATGTCCTGACTTTCATTCATCAACATGACCACATGACACCTATAGTTATTCGGGGGCTTTTTGGCCTTTATTTGATAGGACAGACAGTTAAGTGTGAAAAGGGGACAGAGAATGAATGGGGGTGACACACGGGAAAGGGCCGCAAGGCGGAATCCTACATGGTCCGGGCTTGAAGCCTCTGTATTGGGCACCAGCTTTACCAGGTGAGTTATATGGCGCCCCGACTCCTATAGTTTGTAATCATTTACAACATTTATTCCCTCTTCTTCTTTTCAATTTTATACAGCAGGATTCAAAAACTGGGCCAAAAGGGGGAATGTGACAAACTACAGGCAATCTAAAATGCATCCTTTATTGCACTGGCTTAAAATTGTCATAATGAACACATCTGTCATTTGTCTTATCTGTCAATGTAAGATCTTCAATTATAAGCTGTGCTAGTGATCGTTTTTGTATTTACCATTTTTAGCTGCAACCTTCTAGTGATTTTTTTTTAATGTAGTATGACAGTTTTCTGATACAAACTAGAGAAAGGACACAACCCTTCATCTGCCAATTGAGCCATTAAACCCCACCCATCCAAGATCCTGTAAATATCCAGATTGGATGTGTGTGCAGTTTTGTTAGTTTTCAAGAATGCTTAGTCCCTCCCTAAAAAACATTGAAAGGTTATGAAGGTTTATGAATGACAATGATAATGCTGGCTTTGAAATGGTTCAGGAATCACCTTTTACACCAAAGGATGATAAGAAGGTCTGTGTATTTGCAGACTCGTGTGTTGGTGACCCATGGGCTGAGCTACCTGCCCCAGGTTGACCTGATCATAGTGATGGTGGACGGCGAGGTCACCGAGATGGGCTCCTATCAGCAGCTCATGGCCACAGAGGGAGCATTTGCTGAGTTCCTGCAGACATATAGTGCTGTCGACCATGCTCAAAATAATGGTAAGAAACATTGTACTTGGCTCTATCTTGGCTCACAGATAGAAATCTAAATATACAATATCAAGAAGTATTCTCTAAATTTCCTTGATCATAAGCAATAATCATGCAATGCTGATAAAGAAGAAATCTGCTTTTGAAGATCAACTGCGATTCGGTTGTAGCTGGCTGCTGCAATCTTTACAGATGTTTTTGGGATCAGTCGTATGTCATAGAAGTTGTTTGGTTATTTCCTGCATCTAGAATCTGTGACAAAGAGTGGAACCGATAAACTAGAGAACAACTGCACAACTGCTCATTTTGGGTGAGTGGAACTGCACAACAATGGACATCTATAATGCATTTGAATAAGATACATCACCAGTCAAAGGAGCAATTAATTGTCAATTTGGATCTGCACATGGAATTTGTTAATACAGAATAGACGTTAGGTAAGAACATGTTTATTTCCTAATCCTGACTTTTTTCTTTTTGTGTTCTAAGTACCATTCCACAATCCTTCTTCAAGCTAGGCCTGGGACGATAACAAATTTTGCTGGACGATATATTGTCACACGAATTATTGCCGATAAACGATATTATTGTCAACATGATAATATATCATAATGATGCACACCCTTTCAAAGACAATAAAATTTTATTTCTCAGTGATTTTGACCTTTTGCAATGTAGTGAACTTCCCTTTCTGTGAGCGAACACCATTTTGCACTGTTCCGTTTATATTTACTTTGTTGACCGAACGCCTGAGTGAGTGTTGACTGTCAGGACGAAGGCTCTGCATCTCGAGGTACACTTTGTTTCCCCAGCTGGTTAAACTGGGTCGGGTGGTTATGCTTTATGTGGGCATGCAACTTTGTTGTGTTGCCTTTTTTTGTTGCCACCACTTTTGAACTGGCTCGTCCGTGTTGATGGGCACACCTTGCTCATTCGGTTAGAAGCCGAAACCTTCCCACACCGGGGCTGTGGCATTTGACTTTGCAATCATCTTTTCTCCTCGCGGTGCTTCGCACGACTCTCACTCGCTGCACTCTGTGTGTGTAGCATGTGTGGCTAATGCTAGCGGCCCTGCCTCCCCCCACAGAGACAAAGAGGCTGGATGACTGACAAGAGGGTTCACTCCGTTCATTCTGCAGCAAACACCCCCAGGTGCTGAGACCGAGCACAGAGTGAACCCTCTTGTCATCCAGCCTGCTTGGAGGCGAGAGACGAGGAAAACAAACACGCATGCACATGGCGATATATCGAGGCCGGAAAAATTATTGAGTTCATTTTAATTTATCGTGCGATTAATTGATTTATTGATTATCGGCCCGGGCCTACTTCAAGCTAAATTTAAATTGCTAATTTTAGGATGTTCCTGAACACGGGAACGTTGAGATTAAATCAAGTATAATATTTGAAATATATATTTGATTTGTTACCACATGTGTTCAAGACCAGCTTTGAATATGGTCTGAGGATCTCAAGACACAACAGACGCATTTGGGTGAAATCATACGTGTACTTGGCGCCGTCCACTTGTGATCTAATCAGTCAGGGCAGATGTTAAAAGCCGGGGTTGAATCGTGTCTTAGAGATGGTGGGGTGACCAAATCTAGAAACTTCTTCCTTAACTATAATTAGGGAAGCCTCTGTGCACATTCTATCAGATAAGAACTATAGCTAAGCCATGTTCATTTAAAACTGACCTAGAAACAGTTATGTAATGTTTTTATCACCTCTTGGCTTGATTACCGCAAATTTCTGGCTGTCTTACCCACAACCAATTGCTCCAAGAATGCCTTTCAGTCCCCCTTTCTAATCTAAAAAAGAGATGGAGCTTTCGCTGTTGCTGCCCCCAAAAGTGTTATGTTTTTGTTTAGTTTGGACCCAAAAGCAGAGACGAGCACAGGTAGGTAAAAAAAAAAAAACGGAATCATCACAGTACCCCCCTCTAGGGATACCTCCTGGTGGCATTCCAAGCATGTCCGGGTACTGGGCAAAGAAGTCTGAGGAGAGCAGGATCCAAAATTAGTGAGTGAGATATCCATGAACACTCCTCTGGCCCATACCCCTCCCAATCCAACAAGTACTGGAAACCCCAACGTCACCTCCGCACATCCACCGACCACCAGATGGTGAATGCAGGGCGATTGTCAATGACACAAGATGGAAGGGGTTTGGCTGGAGGACTAAGAGGGCTGGTGGAAACTGGCTTAAGGAGTGACACATGGAAAGACGGGTAGACATTCAGATAGGAGGCAGCTTCAATTTAACCACACTGGGATTAATAATGTGTTCAATCTCATAAGGGCCAATGTACCTGCAGGCCAGTTTCCGGGAGTCCGTTTGAAGTGGGAGGTCACTGTAAATTAGCCAAACCTTCTGGCTGGGCTAGTCGTCAGGTGCTTGAGTGCAATGGTGGTTGGCCATTCTTTGACACCGAGCAGTGGTCTGGGTAAGAGTGACACAAGGAAGAGCAGGCTCATGGTCTTGGTTTGGCCGCTCCGACTGGCTGTTGGTTAATGGGTAGTAACCTGATTATAAGCTGGCTGACGCCCCAACACCTGGCAGAAAGCCATGCAGCCTAAAAACATGTTGGATGAGTGGCAGTCTCAAGAGCATATGGTAATTTGGGAAGGGGTCGGAGGACACCAGCCGGAGCACAGTGAGAAGCCTTGTTGTGGGCACAGACGGAGCAGCCAGAAACATACTCTTTGGTGTCAACGGACATGGAGGGCCACCAGAAGCATTACTGGAGTTAAGGTTTAGTAAACACCTGGATGAAATGCAACTTTTGAGGCGTGTCCCAACTAGAGATCTGGTAGACGCACAAACAGCCGACCCAGCGGACATACCTCGGTAGTCGGATGAACGTCCTGGACCACCGTTTGCACCTCCCAACTGGCTACTCCCACGACACATGACTATAGTAGGATGGTGTCCTTGGGAGCCTCTTCCACGGGCGAACTGTCATTACAGGGTATCGGGCATTACATTCCTGGAACCTGGCTGGAAGGTAAGGGTAAAATTGAACTTGCCCCAGCAAAATTCCCACCGAGCCTGGCATAAGTTGAGCCTGCAGGCGTAAGACAAATTTTAATGATCTGTCCATACCAAAAATGGTTGAGTTGAACCCTCCAGCCAGTGCCTCCATTCTTGAAAACCAGGATGACTGACATCCATTCTTGACTCCCCATGTCAACTTCTCAGCCGATGTCAGCCAACTGGAAAAGAAAGCGCAGGGATGGAGCTTTTGGTCAGATGCAGAGCATTGGGAGAAAACTGCCCCAACACTGGAGTCTGAGTCCTATACCTCAACCATGAACTGGGCTGTGGAGTCAGGCTGGTTAATACGGGTAGCTGGGGTGCTGCCCCCTCCAACATCCTGAGACAAAATGGCCTGGATGAAAATGTTGAACATAATTTAATGATATAATTATATTTTACTCATACAACGCTCCTGGTAGACCATAAGCACCTATGAGCATTCAATGTAAATCTTTTCAAATTGTATTTGATTAAATTCTGTCTAAATTCTGTTCTATAAACTTTCGGGTGTAGGGCACCAACCAAATTGATGTGAATGGGGTCCTGATAGCTTTTGCAACCACAGGACCTGAGGCTTCTCTTTAATTGTTTGTTGCAGATTTTCCATGGGACGCAGCTTTCTGATTTACGTTTTTAAATCCAATGTGATTGGCCGATGCCATCTCAGTTACATCCGCTGTCAGTGAGTTACTTGTGCTGCGAGCTGACCGGCTTCAGGGGAACTGTGGCAAATCCGGTATTTCTTTACAAAAAAACACCCCAACAAGGAAAAAAAAAAATGAGGATAAAGGAGCTTGGTCAGGACCAATTCATCTTACAGATTCAGCAGCCAGGAAGTGATGAAGATGCGCTTACACCCGGTGCTTCTCCTGCTCTTGTTATGAGAAACAAAGTTGACTAACTGGATGTTGTGTAGATAATGGGCCTGATCTACTAAAGGTTTGCAATTGTAAAAACGTGTGCAAACTTGATTTCACCTGCAGAAAAACATGCAAGCTGATCTACTAACGGTGCGCACTGAGGATTGTGTGAAGAATAACATGCGCTGTCCATTTAGTATGTTTGCCTTAATGAATATGCACATATGCAATATGCACATGGTTGTGTTAAGTTTTGGGAGATGAGTGTGACGAGGTGTGGAGGATCGACATCCCAGCCTATGTTTCCGGAACCAGAGTTGAACCAGGAGAGGGGAGGAGAGGAGAGATGACTGGAGAGGAGCGGAGAAAAGAGAG